TGCGCCCGTACTCCCTGTTTCCTTCAGGGGCAATGGTAGTTTCCTCGAACATGAGTTTCCCTTCCGGCTAGGTGAAAACTCAGCTCGGCGTGGGAGAACAGAATCGGCGGCCCTCCGTGAAGTTCGGCTGCCAATTGATGACGATTTTGTCGGTTACGATCTCCATAGCCGCTGAAATCCAGTCATTTAGCCGAGGGTTACAAGATCCCTTTTCTTTCTTTCTTTCTTTCTTTCTTTCTTTCTTTCTTTTTTCGGAAGTTGGCACGCGTGTTGTCCTCTTCCCATAAATCTAATGCCGAAAATACCGGAACAACGAATAGGACGTCACTTGCACCCTTCGCGCTTTATCCCGCGTACTCCTGGCTGCCACAATTCCCTGGCGTTTCCTTGAGGTTGCCGCGCCACAGGAAGGCTAGTTTTTTCTTGTTTTTTTCATCAACTGTTGTCGCAGCCACTCGACGAACTCGCTTGAAGATCTTGTCAGGTGATGCCGACGATGCAGATTCGCCACGCAAAATCCAACGAATTAAAACGCACTATTCACCAATTCACGTTGAGAATAGATGCCGTGACAGCCACAGCTGTGCGTTCCTGGGGGGAGGGAGGGCTCGACCAAATCCTGGCCTTGCAGGGGTCTGGTGACGAAGGGAGCGCACACGCCTTTGTCTAACGAGCTAATTTAGCTTCGAGCCAACCTCTATGTAGCCCTGCAGCCTACCAGCCATCCCTCCCCCCCCCCCCCCCCCCAAAGAAAAATTCTCGGGCAGGCGGAAGCTACTGCGCGAGGACATTGGCTCTGAATACATTGGAACGATCTACTGAGTAATCGGAATATAACCTAGGAGTAATAATTAATTGCGCAAGTGACGAGCAAACTGGCTAATGTAGGGCTCGTAAGTGCTAGGGCAAGAACGTCAGGACGTGATGTGGCTTGGAAGGGTGGCGAGGGTGTCAGAACGTGACTCGGGAAGGTTTGGGCCGACAATCGAGGCCGAACCTGTGAACCAAGGTCTTCGGGTGTACGCGCTGTAATTTAGCGCAGTAAGGAGTCGTAATTCCATACACCTTGTGTTATGAATGGGACTGCCGAGTAGTGCGGAGGGCAATGGCGAAACTGTGAACGAGTGAATGACAATAAAATGAAAGAACACACAATATATAGAAAGCCTAGGGTGATCCTGGACGTAGGATCAGAAGGTTCGGGAAAAGTGTCGAAGGGCCCCGATGTGTCGTAGCGAGGTCCGGAAAGGCCCAGGAGGCTCGATCTGAAAGTCTGGAACCCTGACACTGGTTCGGGACTGTTCGAGTCGTACACCTTGTAGCAAGCCTCAGTAAGGAATTACTAATTCCTTACACTCTCCCCCCTTCTAGATAAGCACACAAATAAATAAAACTACACACACTCTAACTGAATCTCGTAGTAGTGAAGCCACCACTGTTGAGAATCTAGAGCTTCATCATAGAAACTCCATCCAACGGTCGAAACCCGTCGAAACGATCATGGTCGATCGTAGCCGTCAAATCTTGGTCGAATTACCCAGATAACCAAACGGGCAGTAGGGATACTACCGCACCACAGCTTCCATGTCTCCAGCGAATCCTTCGTTGAGAATTACAAACCCAATCGTCGTGTATTGTATCCGCTTAGTAACACCACGATTATTCACACTGCTGCAAGTTGGCGAGCCGAATCTTCTGCATAGTGCCAAACTTGTCCGTAGCTCCGTAACTGTAGATCACTCCTCGTTTAATTCCACGTGAGTCGTGACACTCGCAGAAACACGCGTCCGTATTTCGCAAAATCACGAACTCCAGCCATTCGTCAAGTGCGAGGTCATTCGCGACACTTGCAAGAACACGCGTCCGTGTCTCATGAAAGTCAACGAAGTCCATCAGCTCAAGGACGAAAGCTCAATCAGTCCAGTAAACGTGGTCGATGTCGCCTCAAGCGGTTAAACTAAACACGCCTTCAGTTTTCACGAACACCAGCGAAATTCCCGAAACGCCAACTCGAATCTGTCCGTCGATTCAGTCGGTCAAACAGCATCTGTCCGTCGATGCTCATGCAGCGGATGTCAAAACTTATCGAGGATAAATCCAAAAAACAACTGCTGCGCAGCTGCTCTCTCCCCCCTCCATGAAAAGAAAGTTCTGTCGTTGATGCCGAAAATACCCTTCTTCAAGTTTCTTCAGACCCGAAACTTAAAGTATCTTCCAACTCTGCTCGTCAGGACCAGTCTCAGCGCGACCCTATAACGCAGGGCAGCTGCGCCACGTAGACTCTAGCTCCATCCGACGCCGTAGATCGATATTCTGCTCCACAGAATGCCGTCGATCTGCTTCGTGTTGTTACCCTCTGTAGAAATTTTCTAAACTCCACCTGACCGGTTCGCCGTGCAGATGTTCACCCATCGCGCGGCTACGGCAGGTACCCTAGAAAAACTCGGGTACAGTTCTCAGCTCCGAAAAACGCATTCTCTGCAGTTTCACCGACTAACCATGCTGGTATTTAAACCATCGCACAGCTCGGTAGGTACCCGTGACCCCTGCTACCGCTCCAGCCAAAAACTTGAAGAATTCCTTCCCGGAAAATACCCGACGTTGTAGCGACGCGCCGGCGTTCACCCATCATTGCGTCCGTCCAAGTAAATCCCCGAATGAGTCCTCGCAGCCGAGTCTTTGATTATAGCCCCGCAACTCAAGGATAATCCGTGAAGACTCCCGCGTGACTCCAAATTTTCCGTGACGGCAATACGCTTTTCCCACTGCAACAGTAACCCTTGTCGTCCTGAAGCTCCATTTGATGAATACACTCCAGAGCATGGGTGAATCCGCCGTGTGCCCGTACTCAGGTAAGCGCAAACGCTATCATAGTTGGGCGAATTAATCAGTCTAATTCGCGGGCAACCGCTTTGCAGCTTACGTGAGGGATTCTCCTTCCCCTCCCTGAAAAAATCGTCTCTTCAAGAAATCTGCTCCAAACTGCTGCAAATTTCTTCAACTACTGCTTCCAGAGTAAAACCCCCGTAGGCCGCTGTTCACCCAGCGCCCACGTTCGTCATCCTCAAAAATAGTAGCGCGCACGTTCTTTCGAAAAACTCGCAGCTCCGTCGTTCTCGGCGACGCATCCTCGCCGTTCGTATGGGACTCGAGCTCCGCGTACCGTTCGATCTCCGTCGCAAAAACCCTTCGCTTTTTTCGTCAACCTACTTCTCGCGCCTGCCACTGTAGAGCGTACGAATTTCACAAATCGTGCACCTGTCTTGTAGCGCCGAAAAGTTTTCTTCATCGATCCACCAGCACAGGGTGATCCGCTGGCTCACCACCCTTATTCGGCCAGAACCGTCGGAGTAGTCTTGAACCCGAACTGGTACCTGGTGGTGGTGCTGAAAATCGGGCGACCCAGCCATGTCAGTCGAGGGATCCGTCTACCGCCGACTCTTAATTCTTTCCCGGCTGTTACCCTGTCGTTCTCCTTCTCTGCTTCAGCTCTTCGTCGTTGATGTTTAGCGGTGACCCGGCGAAAGACACTTGAACTCGACCCGAGAGTAGTTGCTGGTCGTTCTCCGTATATTGTGGGGTATACTTTCTGACCACGAAAATGGCTTCCTCTGCAGGAATCCAGACTCGCCGAGCTCGAAACTCCAGGGCAGACGAATTACACCTCCAGGCGGGCAGGTCACGCGAATAAATTTCAAGGTCAGTACTCCTCGAAACTTTTCCGTGCCTGAGCCCCACGTGTGCTGCCGAGCGATCCTTGGTCGTGCCGAAAACGCCGCATTTGCTTAACAGTATCCGAAGTCCCGTCTTCACCTGCGTGTCGCCTGCTGGAAACGCCGAGCCTCTTCACCATGCAGCCACGTCTGCTATACGCGCTCCTAACGAAATCCATTTCGCCTGGGGATATCCGCGAGCTTGTCGTCTCGTGACGAGCTCCTCGCTCCATTCGGACACCAATCCGAACCGTCGTTGATGCTTGCCGAAAATCCCGAAGTTGCATCCGACACCCTTTTTAACGATATGCGAAATGAACAACATACCGGAAACACTCTTCAAAACTTCGCCATGTCAGGACGGAAAACAACTGCCCTCGAGGGGATGGCTCTCGCCCCCCATAAAAAAAAATCGTTATGCCATCGGAAGCCCAGCAGGTGAGGAAAGTGGCTCTGATACCAAGTCTTATGAATGGGACTGCCGAGTAGCGCGGAGGGCAATGGCGAAACTGTGAACGCGTGAATGACAATAAAATAAAAGAACACACAATATATAGAAAGCCTAGGGTGATCCTGGACGTAGGATCAGAAGGTTCGGGAAAAGTGTCGAAGGGCCCCGATGTGTCGTAGCGAGGTCCGGAAAGGCCCAGGAGGCTCGATCTGAAAGTCTGGAACCCTGACACTGGTTCGGGACTGTTCGAGTCGTACACCTTGTAGCAAGCCTCAGTAAGGAATTACTCATTCCTTACACCTTGCACCCGAAGTTGCTGAGTGTCAAGTAGCGATTGTAACCATACGCTTCGGGGGAAGTTGAACCGGTGATTTCCCCAGTCTGGCTCGAGCAAACAGGGGACTCCGCAACGGGATTCTACTGGAAGATGAACCGTCCCTCAAGCCCTGCATGCGACTGAGCTCATTCGCTCCTGCACACGAACCTTGTTCGTTATCCGTTGCGCACCTTACAGTTCATTTTTTAAACGTAACCTGATTCCACATGCAGGTCATTTCTTAGCATCAATCCGCGTTCACAGATCTCCAAACGTACGGCTTTGTGAGCTCGAGGCTCCAGCCATCTGGCCATCTGTAATATCTCCACCTGCAATTGACATGTCAAAGGGCAAAATCTCCCCGAATGTTCGTTCATGAACGCGACCTACAGGCTTCTGAAGCCGTCCCTTCTCCTGTCTTCCTCTGACTTCCAGCCCCTAGGGTTCCTCGTCGTCTCCTGCCTCCACCCCTCTCGAGAACCCATTCGTCCGCCATTCCCTGCCCATCCAGGCTGCACTGTACGTGACTGTCTGTAGCAGCTTCGCAGTCCACAGGTGTCGGCCCGGTCCCGACTCTCCAACTACTCAGCAATGGCGTTTTCTATTCTCCATACCGTCCCTTCCACATCGCTTCAGTATTCTTCCTTACAGAGGTCGAGGAGCCCTGGTTCCTCACATCGCAAGCACAATGCCGCGCACGTGAGCAGCGACGTGCATAAGAGAGGTTTCCATTCACTCATCTCTCATCTCCATCCTTCCTCCTCTTGCCACACCCAGCGCGATTGGCGCTTAGACTCCTAGTGAAGCACTCGGCACCGTGCCCCGAGCAGTCGATCTCATCCTTCGCGAGTAGTCGAAAGCGAGCCTCTCGGCTGTTCGCTGTTTGGCGGCAAAGCGGCAACGACGTCTGCTCTTGCGTGTGGAGCGTGGAAATTTTGATTCGGGCTCTGCTTGACCCCCTTGACCCCACGGATCTAGCTCCCCCCTGCTGCCTTCTCGTCGCTCCACGAATCGCCACTACGATACACGCTTCTCACGGGCACGGCCGATTCCAGTTCATTGGCTGGCACCAAATTCGCCGATTCCGTCAATCGAACCCAGCAATGGCTCCTCCTCGCCTACTCACGTTGCTCCCTGCGCCGTTCGCGATGTGCTTGGTGCTGCTAGCGGCGCCAGCAGAGAGCAAGAAGGCGCCGGTGAAGCGGGCAGTGCCGAAAGGAGTGCCGCAGTGGGAGCTCCTGGCTGCGCTTAAGGACTTGGGGAAAAAGAACGCCTTCTTTTCCGTTTTCGCGGAGCGATTCTACACTGCTGGTGAGTTTCCCTCAGAGTCGAAATCATTTGTACCGCAGCCGTTTACTCTGTACCGCATGCCTGACTGGGATCTCGTTTGTATGCCTCACTGGCCGCAGTTTGAAATCGGATTTTCGCAGCACGTATTCTTATATCTATCTGTTGTCTTCATTTTCCCTTCTCTGCAGCGAGATTCAAGCTGATTACACTCGAAGGCCCTGCGACCATCCTCATTCCGTCCAACGTGGGCAATCAATTAATGAAGAAGAAATGGGACCTCTACACTCCGCAGCAGCGCCTACGGATATTGAGGAATCTGATTATCAGGGGGAAGTTCAGCAAGAACCGTCTCCTGTCAACTGTTCCGTTATGGCAGTTCCGCTCTATGAATATGGGGTTGAAGCTGGTTAAAATGAACAAGCGTGCCCAGCGAGAGTGTTACTTCAAGGCAGAAGGTGGCAAGTCGTTTGGACCTCTGAACCTGCCGAATATGCCACCAAGAATATCCAGATTCATGGGGTTTCCATGGTTCCGATTCCACCTAATGCATGATATGATGGTTATGAGGCTGGCGTTTATGTGCTGTGTATTCTAATGGAATAGACTAGAACAGGGTCCTAAATAGCAGACTTTTTTTGGCTGATTGTCTGATTTTCAAACTGGTTTTTAAGGGGTTTCTCTGTATTTTCAGACAACGGTTTGAAAAACTCTCGTTGTAACGAAAAACGATTCCTTACTGGGGCTCACCACAGCGAGTACCGCATGTTGTGAACTGAGCTAGCAAGAAAAGAGAAGGCCGCCATGTGATGGTGCCTGTCAAACATGTGTATTTGTTATGTTTGCATAGACTGTATAAGGTCACCTCTTAGAGGGTACACTACTTAGGTATATCTATCTGTACTCTCCCCCTACTCCAATCATTCACTTCCCACTTTGATATGGTATCACGCGTAGGTTAGGATCCCCCCCCGCCTACCGCTTCCGCTCGTCCCCTAGCTAGGCCCCGCCGTGCCTCCCCCCCCTAGCCCCGTCGCGACCCCCCTAGCCCCGTCGCGACCTCCTAGCCCTGTAGCGCCCCTCCTGGGCCCCGTAGCGCCCCTCATGGGCCCCATCGCACCCCTCCTGGGCCCCGTCGCGCCCCTCCTGGGCCCCTCCTGGGCCCCGTAGCGCCCCTCCTGGGCCCCGTCGCGCCCCTCCTGGGCCCCTTCTGGGCCCCGTAGTGCCCCTCCTGGGCCACGTAGCGCCCCTCCTGGGCCCCATAGCGCCCCTCCTGGGCCCCATCGCGCCCCTCCTGGGCCCCGTCGCGCCCCTCCTGGGCCCCTCCTGGGCCCCGTAGCGCCCCTCCTGGGCCCCGTCGCGCCCCTCCTAGGCCCCGTAGCGCCCCTCCTGGGCCCCGTCGCGCCCCTCCTGGGCCCCGTAGCGCCCCTCCTGGGCCCCGTCGCGCCCCTCCTGGGCCCCTCCTGGGCCCCGTAGTGCCCCTCATGGGCCTCGTACCGCCCCTCCTGGGCCCCGTAGCGCCCCTCCTGGGCCCCGTCCAGCCTTCAGGCCCCGTCGCGCCCTGCCCGGCCCCGTCGCACCCTGCCCGGCCCCGTCGCACCCCGCCCGGCCCCGTCGCCCCGCCCCGACGCACCCGCCCGGCCCCGACGCACCCGCCCGGCCCTGTTGCGCCCGCCCGGCTCCGTCGCACCCGCCCGGCCCTGTCGCACCCGCCCGGCCCCGTCGCGCCCGCCCGGCCCCGCCGCGCCCGCCCGGCCCCGTCGCACCCGCCCGGCCCTGTCGCACCCGCCCGGCCCCGTCGCGCCCGCCCGGCCCCGTCGCACCCGCCCGGCCCCGTCGCACGGACAAGCTCACTGCCCGCACCCTTCCCTGCGTCTTCCTCGGTTTTCCCCTTGACGCGTCCGACTGACACTTTTACCACCCGCCGTCTCACCGCTTCTTTCACTCTCGCGACGTCACCTTTGATGAGTCCGCCTCCTACTACCGTCGCTTCCCCCACCGCGGTCCCCCGGTTACCCCCCCCCTGTTCCTGGTCACTCCTTCCCCGGTAGTCCCTGCCCCTCCTCCTCCTCCTCCCCGTCCTGCCCCCTCTGGTGTGTCCAACGTCACCCCCCTCCCGTCGGTAGACCCGGTTGAAGAGTCTTCTGACTCTGGTGGCCCTGCTGCGCAGTCCTCGCCGGCCGCCCCTCCCCCGGCGTCCCCTCCCCAGTCCCCTCCTCCACCGCCTCTGCCGCCGCTGCAGCCGTCGTTGTCGCTGCCGCCGCCGCCGCCGCCGCCATCGCAGCACCCGATCGCTGACTCTGGGGGTGCTCGTCCCGGTCGCCCTGGGGGTGGTCCCTCTGGGTGTGCTGGTGTGGGGTGTGCCGGTGGTAGCCGAGGAGCAGCTTGCGGTCCAGATGTCGCCGTTGTGCCGCCGCAGCAGCAGTCCCCGCCAGTGTCAGCCCTTCGCCTGCTCGGCCTGCCGTCCCCCGACCCTGCGTCTGTTCCTCTCCGATCGTCTCCTCCTCTTCCTGTCTACGGCCCTGTGTTCCCTCCGCCGGACTCGTCCCCTGCCCGTCTTCCCCCTCGTTCCCCTTCTGTGTCCCCTCACCTGTCTCCTGACCCGACTCCTCCGTCGCACGTCTGGTCCTACCGTCCCTCCCGTGCTCGTCCTGCCTCGCCTGTCTTGCGCTCCCACCCTATGTTGCTTCGTTCCCACGCGTCTCGTCCTCCCCTTCTCCCGTCCCCTCCTCCGTCCTCCCTTGTCGTTGCTCCCCCCCCTCTGTCTGACTACCTTCGTGCCGCTCATCCTCTCGTTCCTCGGGTCCTTGCCTCTCTCGTTACCGACCCGTCTGTTCCGGTCTCGTGCCTTGACGCTCTTGTCGCTGCTGTCGCTGACTTCGCCTCTACCCGCCGCCTTGACTACGCCACAGCTCTGGTCTCTGACCCTGCCTGTCCTCCGTCTGTCGGGGGTGCTCCTGCCCTTGGCAGTGACGTCCTGGAGGACCGCCAGTTCGAGCTTGCTTTCCTCTCCGAGGCTGCTCCCCATCTCTGTTCCATGCTGCTAGTCCCTGAGGGTGACCCAGACGCTTTCGACATCCCGACCCCTCGCACTTACGCTGAGGCGACTTCGGGACCCTGGGCCTCGCAGTGGATAGCTGCCATGGAGCAGGAGATGGCATCTTGGAGATCCACCGGCACCTTCGTCGACGCAGTTCCCCCGCCTGGGGTGAACGTAGTCGATGGCCGCTGGCTCTTCAAGGTGAAGCGCCCTCCTGGAGAGCCGCCTGTGTTCAAGGCGCGCTACGTGGCTAGAGGCTTCAGTCAGCGTGAGGGGGTGGACTTCTTCCAGACTTTCGCTCCGACCCCGAAGATGACTACTCTTTGGGTTGTGTTACACCTAGCTGCTCAGCGTGACTACGAGCTTCACTCCCTCGACTTCTCCACTGCCTTTCTTCAGGGCAGCCTACACGAGCAGGTCTACTTGTGTCGCCCTCAGGGCTTTACTGGCACCTTCCCTCCTGGGACCCAGTGGCTGCTGCGGCGCCCCGTCTACGGCCTGCGCCAGGCTCCCCGTGAGTGGCACGACACTCTCCGTGCTACGCTAGCTGACCTGCAGTTCTTTCCGTCTTCCGCAGACCCCTCACTCTTCGTTCGTGCTGGCCAGACTCCGTTCTACATCCTTGTTTACGTCGACGACCTGGTCTTTGCCACAGCAGATAGGGACGCACTGGCCTCTGTGAAGGCAGAGCTGCTGAAGAGACACACGTGCACTGACCTTGGAGAACTGCGCCGCTACCTTGGCTTGTAGATCTCCAGGGACAGAGCATCGCGCACCATCACCCTGACTCAGTCACACTTGGTGCGCCAGGTTCTTCAGAGATTCAGCCTTTAGTTCTCCTCTGCACAGCCCACCCCTCTGCCTGTAGACCACAGACTCTCCGCTCTAGTGTCTGAGGAGTCGGTAGAGCCCAGCGGCCCCTACGCAGAGCTGGTGGATTGCCTCATGTACCTGATGACTTGCACTCGCCCAGATCCCGCATACCCTCTCAGCATCCTGGTTCGCTTTGTGGCCACAGGCAGACACCGACCGCAGCACTGGTCTGCCGCTAAGAGGGTTTTGCATTATCTTGCTAGTACATCGGGCATGGGGTTAGTGCTAGGAGGACGCAGGCCAGTGGTCCTTACTGGACACACAGACGCTTCGTGGGCAGACGACGCCGAGACACTCAGGTCTACCCAGGGCTACTGCTTCAGCCTTGGCTTAGGTGCCGTCTCGTGGAGGGCTACCCGCTCCTCGTCTGTTGCCCAGTCCAGCTGTGAGGCTGAGATCTACGCTGGTGCCATGGCGGCACAGGAGCTCCGCTGGCTGACCTTCTTGCTCACTGACTTAGGTGAGCGGCCTAGCTCTGCCCCGGTCATGTTCGCTGACAACAGGGCCATGATCCTCCTGTGTCAGGAGCCTCGACTCGAGGGCAGAGCGAAGCATATTCAGCTGCGGTACTTCCTCCTGCGTGAGCTACAGCAGCGACGTCAGGCTCGCGTAGTACACTTGGCCTCAGGTGCCAACACAGCTGATATCTTTACGAAGGCGCTTGCGCCTAAAGATCATCAGCGGCACTGTGTACAGCTTGGTCTAGTTCCTGTAGCCTCTCACTTGCTAGGGCCTTGACTTTGTACTGTCCTTTATATGTATACTCAGACTGGACTTGTGTCCTCTTCCAGTGGCTGGACTAGTAGTGCCGCCCTGGTCTTGTTCTCGCCTTGCCTGTACTCCTTGTGACTGGTCTCTTAGACCCTTGTCTCAAAGGTCGGACTAATAGTGCCGCCCTGAGCTGCTTGTTTAGGACATTCCCCTATGCAGTCTAGGGGGTGTGTCAAACATGTGTATTTGTTATGTTTGCATAGACTGTATAGGGTCACCTCCTAGAGGGTACACTACTTAGGAATATCTATCTGTACTCTCCCCCTACTCCAATCATTCACTTCTCTCACTTTGATAGGTGCCCGCAGTTTAGCTAGGGAGATTGACGAGAGAGAAGAGTGTCGATAAGGAAGAGAGAGGGGTACAAGGAGGGGATTGTGCCCTCTACAGTAAGGTTCAGTAACAACTACCAAGCCTATCAATTATATATAACTTATATAATTTTAACACACCCCCTAGGCTATCACCTTATACATATTAGTTGTGTACAAGTTATAGGCTAGACTGAGGTATGCTTTTAGTGAGTACAACCAACTAGTATTTGTTCTAGGTTTCTACCTCTAGTTCATTATTCAGTTCTTACTTTAACATGGTATCACGCGTAGGTGAGTATCCCCCACCTACCGCTTCCGCCCGTACCCTAGCTAGGCCCCGCCGCTTCCCGCTGGGCCCCGTCGTGCCTCCTAGGCCCCGTCGCGCCCGCTAGGCCCCGTCGCGCCCTGGCCACGTCGCGCCCGCCTGGCCCCGTCGCGCCCAACCTGGGCCCCGTCGCGCCTCCTAGCCCCGTCGCGCCCCTCCTAGGCCCCGTCGTGCCTCCTAGGCCCCGTCGCGCCTCCTAGCCCCGTCGCGCCCCTCCTGGGCCCTGCCGTGCCTCCTAGCACCGTCGCCCCCCACCCCTTGGCCCCCCTCGCGCCCCTCCTGGGCCCTGCCGTGCCTCCTAGCACCGTCGCGCCCCCCCCTGGCCCCCGTCGCGCTCCTAGGCCCCCGTCGCGCCCCTCCTGGTCCCCGTCGCGCCTCCTAGCCCCGTCGCGACCCTCCTCGGCCCCGT